AGTTTTTAGTTGCTTACTGCAACATTCCAGGCATTTCCAATTATTCCTCTTTTGCTGGTCCATTTGATCAAAGTATCTGATAGGTATGTTTGCGCATTCGCAGTCATACTTCAATTAACAAATCAAGCAACTAAGAAATCCTTTTTTGGGTAAAGTATTTTTGCATCCGGCGCAAATTTTAGAATTCATAGTGGACGCCATTACTGTTGTTACAATTTAATAACTTTTTTGAAGTTTGTAGCAATGACAAAAAACTTTCCGGCGTCGGGGATCGATCGCACGTCGCTCGAGTTTGGACGTCGTTATACTATCTGCGCCACGGTAATGTTAGTAAACTTTGCGAAAATATCGATCTATTTAGAGTACAGCAACAAGTTATTAACATCATCATCATCATTGCAGCCCTTTACAAGTCCACTGCTGAACGTAGGCCTCCCCCAAGCAATGCCACAAAGCACGGTCCTGAGCCACCTGCATCCATCGACTTCCTGCATGTCTTACCAGGTCGTCACTCCATCTAGTGGGGGGTCGCCCTACACTACGCCTAGCGGTACGAAGCTGCCACTCGAGAACCTTTCTTCCCCATCGGTTATCGGTTCTTCAAGCTATATGGCCGGCCCGTTGCCACTTCAGCTTACTAATCCGTTGGGCCTATGTCGGTCACTCTGGTTATACTGCGGATATCCTCATTGCTGAGTCTATCACGCAGAGAAACTCTGAGTATAGCCCTCTCCATAGCTCGCTGAGCGACCTTGAGCGTCCTCATACGGCCAGCAGTGAAGGACCACGTCTCAGATCCGTAAGTCATCACTGGCAACACGCACTCGTTGTACACTTTAGTTTTTAGAGATTGAGGTATACCTGACGAGAAGATGTGTCGTAATTTCCCAAACGCTGCCCAGCCGAGTTGAATCCGTCGATTGACCTCTCGGTTGAAGTTGGACTTACCTAGTCGGACTATTTGTTCCAGGTAAATGTACTCGTCAACAACTTCGAGCATAGTGCTCCCAACAACTACCGGCATAGATGTGACATGGACATTAAACATGATCTTTGTTTTGTCCATGTTTATCTTAAGACCTATCCGTTGGGAGACACTATTGAGGTCATTGAGCATAGTGCTAAGGTCCTCCAGCCATTCTGCCATAAGGACTATATCGTCGGCAAATCGAAGATGAGTGATGTACTCGCCATTGATGTTAACACCGTATTCTTTCCAGTCCAGTAGCTTGAAAACGTCTTCCAACGCAGCGGTGAAGAGTTTCGGGGATATAACGTCACCAAGTCTTACACCTCTCTGCAGTTGGATAGGTTTCGCTATTCAAGCTCTGATTCTGTACTCAGATAGCCATCGTAGCCCTACTGTACAAACACTTAAGCACTTCGATATACCGACAGTAAACTTGGCACCGCTGAAGGGACTGTAGCACCGCCCAATTTTCGACGGAATCAAAGGCTTTATCAAAGTCCACATACGCCAGGAAAAGTGGCAGATTGTACTCTTCGGTCTTCTGTACAATCTGCCGCAGGGTATGTATGTGGTCTATGGTACTGAAGCCTTTTCGGAAACCGGCTTGTTCGGGAGGCTGGAAGTCGTCGAGTCTGTGTGCGAGACGATTCGTAATGACTCTCGAAAACAGCACGTAGACGCGGCTCAGAAGGAAAATCGGTCTGTATTTCTTCGAGAGCGTTGTCGCCTTTCTTAAAGAACAAGACCACAGCACTTCTGCTCCACGCCTCCGGAGTAGTGCCACCATGGAGGACGGAATTGAAGAGCTTCTGAAGGACTTCAAGTACCGGTGTTCCACCCGCTTTCAGTAGCTCCGCTGTAATTCCATCCTCGCCTGGGGCCCTGCCGTTTTTAAGGTGCTGGAGAGCCATTCTAATCTCGCTCAGACTGACGTCCGGGATATCATCGGAATAGTGTCGGGTAAGACTTGCTCTTGGATCGTTACTCACACTTGCGTGTGGCTCCAACGATGATATGTACAGCTGCCCATAGAACCTCTCAATCTCACTCAAAATCTCAGGTGTCCCGGAAACGATGCTGCCAGACTCAGTCTTCAGCTTTGACAGTTGGCTCTTTCTGGCAGACAGATCTCTGGCAAAGACTTTGGAGCCCTGGTTCCGCTCGATCGCTTCTTTAATACGATCAGTATTAAAGTTGCGCAAGTCTCGATGCATGCATTTGGAGATCTGTCAGTTAAGTTGCCCGTATTCTGTCAAATCTGTTGACGATTGCAGCCTCATATCCCGTCTAACAGCCATGAGATTAAGAGTGTGATCGGAGAGTTTTTGTGTTCTTCTGCGGCGTGTCTTGCAGAACTTAGCTCCGACCGCATGGACAGTTTCCACGAGCTTGTCATTCATATCGTCCACTGCATTGCAATCTTCTAGGCACTGAAAGCGGTTACGTAACTCGAGCTGAAAGGTTTCGGGATTCTGGATTAGAGCACGAGGGGGGACGGAGTGTTGACTTCATTAGACGAGACCTCTCCAACTTAACGTTTAGGTTCAGTGTGCCTCTAACCATTCGGTGATCGTTGCCAGTTTTCACCTTTGCGATCACTGAGACATCACTGAACAGTTGGCGTCTGGTCGTCATAATGAAGTCAATCTCATTTTTGTCGAACCGTCGGGGCTCGACCAGGTCCACTTCCTGTGGGGCCGCTTCTGGAAGAAAGAGTTCATCATAAAGAGTCCCTCTTTCTCCATAAAGTCGGCCAGCTGCTGGCCCCTTCGGTTCCGTTGCCCTACTCCAAATTTCCCTAACTTCAGCTCACCGTTTTCACTTGTGCCTAGTTTCGCGTTGAAGTCTCCCATCAACACCGTGTAGTGGGTTTTGGAGGAATGCATGGCTTTGGAAAATATCCTCATACATTTCCTCCACCTCCTCATCGGGATGTGCCGAGGTTGGTGCGTAAACCTGTATGACCTTCAGCGAATACCCTTTGGTGATTCTGAGTATCAGGTACGCGACCCTTGTCGACACACTCCCAATCTTTACAACGTTGTTGACGAGAGACTTGTGGACGATAAATCCGACACCTCCTTGGGACAGATGGTCGCCCTCCCGGTGATAGAACAAGTTGCCGGACTCGAGGATTACCGTGTCCTCGCCCTCTCTTCGGACTTCGGATAACCCGATAATATGCCAGCGCAACTTGTCTACCTCTTCTTCCAACTCCAGTATCTTCTCGTCAGTTCTCAGGGTGCGTGCGTTATATGTTGTCAGGTCGAGTCGTCGTAGGTGGCAACCGAACCTCCACCGGAGATTCTTAGCACCCCCCTGCCCCGCCGTTACCATGGTCGCCACCGTAGCCAGGACTAGCGGGGCCGCCGGGGACTGGGGGCCGTCTATTTGTGTAATTGTTCATGGGGGGTATATTACCATAGTTGCCACGCTTGGCGAGCGGGTTGGCAACAGCAGTTTTATATTGTGTAATTGTTGTTATCAGGAAGATGCTGCTGCCCATCTCCTGCCTGTCTCCCTCTGTCCCTCTTACGACACCCACGGGAAGATATGGGGTAGTGGATATTCTCAACTGCCACTACACGGCAAAAAGTTATTAACAGTCTGTCGGTAGTACACAAACAAAAGTTATCAATAGGTCGTGAGTAATCACAAATTACTGTATTTTAAAAAGGCTCACTGGATTAAATTTTAGTTAGTTTTTTAATTAGAAACACTGACCACACACTATTAGCTTTTATTACACAATATGAAATATATATTACACTTTGAAATATTTGGTAAAGTTAACATTCGAAGTTACTGCGTTAACACCAGATCATCTTCAGAATTACGTTAGAACCTTGCAGGATAATAACGACACAGAATTATTGTAAATTAAAAAATATTTCTAAATTACTTTTGATAGCTATTTCGAGCTTTTAGAATTAAAATATAAATTTTTAACACAGATATGTTGCACACGTTTGACATGTATGACGTACTCACGTATATCAAGTTTTCGCGTTAACCGCTAAAAAGAACCCCTTTGTCATATCTCCTCAGTTTCAAGACACTCCCCTTGTTGCCTCAGCCAGTATCGGAATCCTCGGCGTCGACAAATCGAGTGACGTGCAGTTTCGTGGTCACTTTGAAGAGAAGGCCAAATTGGCCTCTAAAAAGCTTGGCGTGCTCAGCAGAGCGGGACAGTATTTCAAGCCGCCTGCAACTTTACAAGGCGCAGGTTCGGCCCCACACGGAATACTGTTCCAATCTCTGGGCTGGGGCTCCCTGATGCCAGCTCCTAACGCCAGCTCAAATCGTCGACGACCGAGTGCTTACCGATCGGCTAGATTCACTGGCGCTGCGAAGAGATGTTGCATCTCTTTGCATTTTCTTTCGCATATACCACAGGGAGTTCTCTGAGGAAATTGTTCGAATTAATCCCAGCCGCCAAATTTCATGAACGCATTTCACGCGGTAATCCTCCCGAACAAGTTCTCAAGGTAATTCTCCTGTTTCACAAGGAGTTTTCTTCCGCATACGACCTCTCTGTGGAATAGTTTACCACCGGCGATTTTTCCTGACCGATACGATCTAGGGACTTTCACGAAAAGAGTTACTTCTTTCTAAAAGGCCGGCAATTCCCTGGTGTTGCGGATGTTCATGGGCGGCGGTAGTCACTTAACATCAAGAGAAACGTATGCTCGTTTGCCCCCTATTCTATAAAAAAAAGGTGACAGAAGGAAATGAAATGGGACATGGGCAGCATTTTCTTCCTGATAATTACACAAAATAATAAAAAAATCTTTAGTTGTCAGTCCGTAAATATAGCCCCTATGAGGATAATCTATGGGGGTCTTTATTTAGTTTGTGCATTTTGATTGAATGATAATGATGAATATTATTTTTACCTCATATTAAAAAAAATTGTAACTATATAAAATATGTGTCTATGGCCCGTAATATGTTCGCTAAGCGTAGCGAATGAAGGCAAATCCGGCCCATATACAGAAGAGTAGCCAATGGCAGCGGGTGGTGCCCTCACCGAGGTGGGCGTGAAGGAGATGGGCGTGTGCTGCGCGTGCTGCGGCAGCTGCGCGGGCTGCGCGTGCGGCGCGCCGTGCTTGGGCTGCAGCTCGTGGCGCCGCCGGAAGTTCTCGCGCTGCTCCTCCAGCTTCTTCTTGATGAGCGCGCCCTGCATGATGCTCTGCGTGTGCGCGGCCAGCTCGCGCGGCGACGGGATGCGTCCCGGCACGCCCGGCACCGCTGCCACGCCCGTCACCCCCGCCACACCTGCCATACACCCACACTCATCACAAACTGCTTATAAAAATAAAAATAAAAACTCGCTTATTACTACTTAAATAAAATGTTTTCAAATTGAAACTAAATTAGAAAAATATATTTTTTATTCAATATACATTATATTATGACTGAATTACTTATTGAAAGTAATTTTGTAAATTTCAACTAGTTCCAAAAATACCTCTGTCCTGAGAAGACCCAGCAAAATACCCACCCAGCGGGATTATATTTGTATAAACATATATCACTTTACCGTGCCGTGTAGTGGCGGTTGAGAATATCCACTACCCCATATCTTCCCGTGGGTGTCGTAAGAGGCGCAGAGGGAGACAGGCAGGAGATGGGCAGCAGCATCTTCCTGATAACAGCAACTGTACGACAAAAAAAACTGCGGTTGCCAACCCGCTCACCAAGCGTGGCAACTATGGCAATATACCCCCCATGAACAATTACATAATTAGACGGCCCCCGGTCCCCGGCGGCCCCGCTATTCCTGGCTACGGTGGCGACCATGGTAACGGCGGGGCAGGGGGTGCTAAGAATCTCCGGTGGAGGTTCGGTTGCCACCTACGACGACTCGACCTGACAACATATAACGCACGCACCCTGAGAACTGACGAGAAGATACTGGAGTTGGAAGAAGAGGTAGACAAGTTGCGCTGGCATATTATCGGGTTATCCGAAGTCCGAAGAGAGGGCGAGGACACGGTAATCCTCGAGTCCGGCAACTTGTTCTATCACCGGGAGGGCGACCATCTGTCCCAAGGAGGTGTCGGATTTATCGTCCACATGTGTCTCGTCAACAACGTTGTAAAGATTGGGAGTGTGTCGACAAGGGTCGCGTACCTGATACTCAGAATCACCAAAGGGTATTCGCTGAAGGTCATACAGGTTTACGCACCAACCTCGGCACATCCCAATGAGGAGGTGGAGGAAATGTATGAGGATATTTCCAGAGCCATGCATTCCTCCAAAACCCACTACACGGTGTTGATGGGAGACTTCAACGCGAAACTAGGCACAAGTGAAAACGGTGAGCTGAAGTTAGGGAAATTTGGAGTAGGGCAACGGAACCGAAGGGGCCAGAGTGGCCGACTTTATGGAGAAAGAGGGACTCTTTATGATGAACTCTTTCTTCCAGAAGCGGCCCCACAGGAAGTGGACCTGGTCGAGCCCCGACGGTTCGACAAAAAATGAGATTGACTTCATTATGACGACCAGACGCCAACTGTTCAGTGATGTCTCAGTGATCGCAAGGGTGAAAACTGGCAGCGATCACCGAATGGTTAGAGGCACACTGAACCTAAACGTTAAGTTGGAGAGGTCTCGTCTAATGAAGTCAACGCTCCGTCCCCCTCGTGCTCTAATCCAGAATCCCGAAAACTTTCAGCTCGAGTTACGTAACCGCTTTCAGTGCCTACAAGATTGCAATGCAGTGGACGATATGAATGACAAGCTCGTGGAAACTGTCCATGCGGTCGGAGCTAAGTTCTGCAAGACCCGCCGCAGAAGAACACCAAAAACTCTCCGATCATACTCTTAATCTCATGGCTGTTAGACGGTAGATGAGGCTGCAATCGTCAACAGATTTGACAGCATACAGGCAACTGAACAGACAGATCTCCAAATGCATGCGGCTAGACTCACGCAACTTTAATACTGCTCGTATTAAAGAAGCGATCGAACGGAACCAGGGCTCCAAAGTCTTTGCCAGAGATCTGTCTGCCAGTAAGAGCCAACTGTCAAAGCTGAAGACTGAGTGTGGCAGCATCGTTTCCGGGACACCTGAGATTTTGAGTGAGATTGAGAGGTTCTATGGGCAGCTGTACGCATCATCGTTGGAGCCACACGCAAGTGTGAGTTACGATCCAAGAGCAAGTCTTATCCGACACTATTCCGATGATATCCCGGACGTCAGTCTAAGCGAGATTAGAATGGCTCTCCAGCACCTTAAAAACGGCAGGGCCCCAGGCGAGGATGGAATTACAGCGGAGCTTCTGAAAGCGGGTGGAACACCGGTACTTGAAGTCCTTCAGAAGCTCTTCAATTCCGTTGTCCATGGTGGCACTACTCCAGAGGCGTGGAGCAGAAGTGCGTGGTCTTGTTCTTTAAGAAAGGCGACTACGCTCTCTTGAAGAAATACAGACCGATTTCCCTTCTGAGCCGCGTCTACGTGCTGTTTTCGAGAGTCATTACGAATCGTCTCGCACGCAAATTCGACGACTTCCAGCCTCCCGAACAAGCCGGTTTCCGAAAAGGCTTCAGTACCATAGACCACATACATACCCTGCGTCAGATTGTATAGAAGACTGAAGAGTACAATCTGCAACTTTGCCTGGCGTATGTGGACTATGAGAAAGCCTTTGATTCCGTCGAAATTTGGGCGGTGCTACAGTCCCTTCAGCGTTGCTAAGTTGACTGTCGGTATATCGAAGTGCTTAAGTGTTTGTACAGTAGGGCTACGATGGCTATCTGAGTACAGAATCAGAGCTCGAAACCTATCCAACTGCAGAGAGGTGTAAGACAGGGTGACGTTATATCCCCGAAACTCTTCACCGCTGCATTGGAAGACGTTTTCAAGCTACTGGACTGGAAAGGATACGGTATTAACATCAATGGCGAGTACATCACTCATCTTCGATTTGCCGACGATATAGTCCTTATGGCAGAATGACTGGAGGACCTTAGCACTATGCTCAATGACCTCAATAGTGTCTCCCAACGGATAGGTCTTAAGATAAACATGGACAAAACAAAGATCATGTTTAATGTCCATGTCACATCTATGCCGGTAGTTGTTGGGAGCACTATGCTCGAAGTTGTTGACGAGTACATTTACCTGGAACAAATAGTCCGACTAGGTAAGTCCAACTTCAACCGAGAGGTCAATCGACGGATTCAACTCGGCTGGGCAGCGTTTGGGAAATTACGACACATCTTCTCGTCAGGTATACCTCAATCTCTAAAAACTAGATTATACAACCAGTGCGTGTTGCCAGTGATGACTTACGGATCAGAGACGTGGTCCTTCACTGCTGGCCGTATGAGGTCGCTCAAGGTCGCTCAGCGAGCTATGGAGAGGGCTATGCTCGGAAGTTTCTCTGCGTGATAGACTCAGAAATGAGGATATCCGCAGTAAAACCAGAGTGACCGACATAGCCCAACGGATTAGTAAGCTGAAGTGGCAATGGGCCGGCCATATAGCTCGAAGAACCGATAACCGATGGGGAAGAAAGGTTCTCGAGTGGCAGCCTCGTATCGGTAGGCGTAGTGTAGGGCGACCCCCCACTAGATGGAGTGACGACCTGGTAAGATATGCAGGAAGTCGATGGATGCAGGTGGCTCAGGACCGTGCTTTGTGGCATTACTTGGGGGAGGCCTATGTTCAGCAGTGGACTTGTGAAGGGCTGTAATGATGATGATGATGATGATATCACTTTACAATAATTCTGTACAACTTTTTATATGAATTTTAATAGAACCAGCATGGTAGCGATCACCTCATACCTGGATGGTGCACCGCCAGAGTGTTGGGGCTCGTAGCCATTATCGGAGACACACAGAAAGCTGCGTCCAAGTGCAAATTGACAATGGTAAAATTATTAATACACTTTTTACTTAGCTATAGCAACATAGTGTTATGTATACACTACATGTAACAAAATTCCTGTGGTTCCCTTAACATTAAATGCGTTATCAGAATCAGTATTCAAACGTCCAAAAATACCTTTCAGAAATCTTGAAACTTAAATTGAAATAAATCTTTATTTGCATAATATATGTAGTTTTATTACCTCCGCATTGACCGAGGAGTAAGATTATTGTCAAAGACCCTGCTTTGATATTTTTACTGATGCGCATGTCAGAGCTCATAAAACCACATATAGATCGCGCCACGTAAATTGAACCTAAATGGCAGTCATTCGCGCAGGTACAAATATGGACGAAAGTGTAAAGACGCATGCTCCGCGGTTCCCCAAAAATTCAAAAATCATAAAGGAAAAACCGTGAATTCGTCGTATTTAAATATATTTTTCATAAATTGTCAAAATGGAGTAACGTAATTTAATTAAACAGAAAGTGAAATTTCATAAAAATAATCTCGATTTTCTTTGAAATTAATGTATTTCTTATTGTATCATTAATTTATGGTTGTAAGGTATATTGGTAAATAGGTATTGACTGCCTCGTTGGTCTAGTGGTTGTAGTAGTGCGACTGCTGATCATGAGGTCCCGGGTTCGAATACCGGGTCGGGCAGAAAAATTAATTGTTGTTTTTCTGTCAAAAAGAAATTCTTAGTAGCTGCCCGCAGTCAGGAAGTTGGCGGTGTATCACCCCCGTGCCTCGTAAGCACGTAAAGCCGTTGGTTTTTAATTTTTTTGTAAAAATATTTTTTCTTTTTTTTTTTTTTTTTTTTTTTTTTTTCTTCCGGTTTGGGCGTTTTCCCGGGCCCCCGTGAATCGTCATGTCGGGAATTAAAAATAAAAGTAAATAAAAAGTAAAAATAAATGCGATAAAATCCGTAAAAGTAGTTTGAATCATGTATAGTGTTCGCGTAAATATAAGAAATCATTATGAAAACCTAAATTACGAAAATATTTCGATTTAATATTATAAAATAATATTATAAAATCTCCAAAACTGTCTACTTCAATGTAATTTTTTCCATGTATTTGGTTATAAACATATCTATTTTAATTATTTTATCAAAATGCATGTAATGTTAAATATCCAAAAAAAATTTTAGCTCGTTTTATTTTGTCAATTATTTTATATACTTATTTTAAAAATACTATAAAACATCATGCGCAGACGCCGTTCGATTCAGTAAGCTCCGAGTAATCCCAACGACAGGACGTATTACTTTTTCTCACCGACACCGCGCGATCACGTTGATACACCGATAGGGCTATACTATAACTAGATACCTATAGCACCATCGAACATTTTAAACGATTGAGACTTTTATAAGCGATATTTTTGGTAGTAAGTAATTTTGAAATATGTTTATGATTGTAATAATATTAGATGATGTAATGGTGGCAAATTTTCATTTCATACATATTTTTTTAGAAATAAGTTATGAACGTAAGCAATTTGGATCAAGTAAAAATACAAAATCGATGGCTATCACCTTTGGCTCCGTGGTGGAGTGACTTAGTAATGAGTTGTAGCGCTGAGTGCCGCGGGTTCGAATCCCACATGGAACAAAAATTTGTATTACCTACAAATAATTGTTCCAGGTCTAGATGATTGTCCTTGTGAAATTAATGTATTCAAACTGCCCTCACGATGTACTTAGGAAAAATTCCTAGTATGGGGATAACGTTATGATTAAACAAAGACATGCCATCAAAAACATAACTTTTAAAATAACCAAGTCTCGCAATGATGATACGGCCGTGCCGCTGTTTTGTTCGACTTGGCGTGGGCACTACTGTGCCCCCAGATATAAAACATATGAGCCGTGCTTGAGATGAGTAGCTCAAGGGCGTAGTGTTCGCCGCGTAAACGCGAACAATCCGGGCTCGATCCCCGCTAGTGTTGCCAGGTGTCCCGATTTGCGCGGGACGTCCCGATTTTTAAGGGTCTAGTGACACGTCCCGATTCACCCTTGATCGGGACACCAAATGTCCCGATTTTCACTAACCTTCTTATTCTATACTTTAATCTATAATTTTGAGAGCAAAAATGATTACATCTGTTAGCTACTACCACATTAAAATATTTTTACTACGACATTCTCTCACCAGTCGAAAAAAATTACAAAAGTTTTTTAAACAGAATTATATTAAAATGAGTGATTTGAAAAATTCAGGGATTGCAAAAAAAAAACAAATAGTTCAAAAATGTTTTAATTTGCCTAAAATGAAAAAAAAAAAATCAGTTTTTACGATGTTTGGATGAAAAGTTATTCGTTTATGAGATCAGACCCGAATAATAATTATAAAGCACAAAAGTAAAGTAAAGTTACAGTCACAATTTCTCGCATTACTCGCACACTGTAATATTTACAGTGAGCGTTGACCATCTGAGCTACCACGGCTCTCAATAAAACACAAAAAGGCTACAAAGAAACCTATATTTTGTAGTCATTGTAGTTGTCCGGATATGAAAACCAAATCCCCGATAATTTTTACCTTCCGTCCCCAAATTTTACTTGCTAGACCTGGCAACACTAATCCCCGCCGACACTAATGAAATTGTTAGTTTGATGAATTATGTTTACATTCCCGCGCTGTGGGGCGGGGGGGCCCCCTTTTTTGGTTCTTTCCGTTGTTTTTTATCAGGTTTTTTTTAAAAAGGGGGGGCCGAGTGGGGTGGAGTTTTTTTTTTGTGTTTTGTTTTTTCGGTTGTTATGAAACAGAATAAAAGTTTATCAAATGATATATATTTTATACAATACATATTTTTCAATTAGAACATATACATATTATAATATACTCAATAGGGTAAAAATGTAAAGCCGACTTCAATTTACTAAAAGAATAAAACAATTTCCACATAATATTAGCCTCCGATTTCTATACACTATATAAGCCATTATATGGAAATTATTTTTTTATTATTTTAGTTCCAACAGTATATAAAGTAATATCAAAGACAGGTATATAATCAAAGATCAAAGTGATTCGTAGTCGTCGTGAGGCAACTATTATAGCCTCACGCTCGCACTGACACGCACACAGAGATAACATTGTAGTGTGCGTCAATATTATGCCGTTTCAAAGCTATCGCGTAGATTTCGACTTGGACATATTTGAATATGCGCTCTTAATGTTTAATCACTTTCAGTCATTGGCATAACACATATAATTTCCAATGGTATGCCAGAACTTGGGCCCTGAGTTGCGATTTCATCTTCTATATCAGTTGAGGAATCAAATTCAAGAATAACTGCTATCAGAATCTGAAACCCGTATTATAAATTCTTCGTACATTTTATCGATGACATAGTTGTTTTTGGCATAAGCTTCTTCAATTGCCTTGACTTTGTCGTATAACTTTTTCCAATCACATGATCCCATTGAATTTATATTTTCGTTCACTAACTCCACCATACATTTTTGCTACTTATCTGGATGGTTGGGAGGCAGCGAAGTACGTCATGACCATGTTCATTAAAAATCTTGACTATATTAAATGTTTTAAAGCAATCTTTGTTATTTTTTATAAACTGGTATAATTAAGGCTTCAAAATTTCAGATGTAAATGTCATTCCTTTTTATGAAAGCCAAGCCTGCATATCAGCTTTCCTTGAGTTTGCGTTTGGAGCTAAGACATATTCCTTATTATGGTATGATGCATTATCTACAACTATAATTGAATTTGGGGGAAGATTCGGTAGCAATTAAGTTCGGATCCACTTTTCATAATTCTCCAAATTCATATCGTCGTGGTAGTCCCTGGACTTCATACCTGACTTGAACGTTAACAAGGTGATAGGCACAAAAACAGTCTCCGATCCGGCTTGTAATACTAATATCACAACACGTTGCTCTTTTAGAAAACATAAACATAAACACTCACGCCTGTCACCCAGAGGGGTAGGCAGAGACTACAGACTTCCATTTGGCACGATCCTGACACACCTCTCTTGCCTCCTTCACATCCATACACCTACGCATACATGCTCGTCGGTTAAGGGTACTCCTAATTTGGCCCGTTTTCAATAAATCGCCAATTTGGTCGATAAATTTTCGCCCAGGACGTCCCTTTCCGACTCTGCCATTCACTTCTGCACCATAAATTTTCTTTGTCACTCTCCTCATTCATTCTTTCCACATGACCAAACCACCGAAGCATTCCTTTCTTAATCCTGGTCACAACATCATCTTGCAAACCACACTCTTCTCTTATTACACAATTTCTTACCCTGTCATTCAGATTCAGCCCTAACATACTCCTTAACGACCGCATTCTACTGTGTTTATTCTACTCTCGTGCTTCTTCTGCCACACCCAACTTTCACTACCATACGTTAAAGTAGGGACCAACACAGCATTGTGAATTGCCATACGTGCCTTTTTCCACACATTTTGACTCTTCACAATAGAGCGCAAGGCCCCATTTACTCTATTTCCCGCATTCACTCGTCGTTCTATATCCTTATTATATCTCCCATCCCTGCTAAATACGCAGCCCAAATATACAAACTCATCTACTTGCTCGATCAACTCCCCTTCTATTCTTATTTCACAAATCGTTTTACTTTCTTCTCTTTCAAAAATAACCTTCGTCGTACTTGCGTTCACTTTCATACCCCTTTCTTATAATGATCCGTTCATTAATGTAACCATCATTTGCAACTCGGCCGCCGACGACGCAAAAATAACTTGATCATCGGCGTACAAAAGGCATTTGACGGTTAACTCACCCATTCTTAATCCGCATTCTTCAACTTTCAAATTTTGCAAACAACTGTCCATAAATAGGTTGAACAGCCACGGGGAAGCCACACAGCCCTGTCTGACACCTTTATGGATGTCAAACCAGTCCGAGTAGACCCCGTTGATCTTAACACAAGCACTAGAGTCCCTATAAAGAGACTCCAATGCCTGTATCA